ATTTTTATTTTATTTATTTATTATTGTTTTTCCTTCATCCAGCCCCGTTTTGGGTTATTGTCTCCCCCTAAAGCCCGGCTCGCAGCGCCTCCATTTTAATTGCGGGCTGACATGGGGGAAGTGACCCTCTTTTAGAGATAATGACAACACGCAATAATAATAACACCCTTAGGGGAAAAAGCAAACAAACCCCAAAGCCGATCCCCGCTCCCGTGAGGGCTGTGGGTGCCCCCGTGGGGCTGTAACAAGTGCGGTGCCCTCTGCTCTGCCCCCACCCCACACAAAGTGCCCCCCGGCCGCCGCGGCCCCTTTGTGTCAGTGCCCCCACTGACAGCTATAGGGCCGGGAGGAGCCTTCTGCCCCAACGCTGTATCGCTGGGTTCTCACCTGACCACGGGAGGACGAACAAAGGGGCACTTGAACAGTTCGGGATGGATTCCCGACGCTGTTTGGTTGTGCGGTGGCTGCGATGCACTTGGCACGCCGGGCGACGGGCGGCATTGTTTGCGGCGGTGCCGGCTGGGAGCTGCGTGCTTTGCGGGCAGCACCTGCACTCGAGTTGTGCGTCTGCATTTCGGTGGCAGTTCGATCCGATCCGGGTCCGGGTCCCGGCTCTGAACTCCATAAAGTATTCATTATGAGTGCGGTGCTGCGCTCGGAGCTGCTCTGCTGTTCTTGCATTGCGTGCATCTCGCGAAAAGGTGAGGGAGGAAGAGGTGAGGGAGTGCTTTTCCTTTTATTTCCCCACGAAGAGCTGATGTTGCCCAGGAAGAGCGATGGATGAACTCGCACAGCTCTCCCACTTGCACCCACACCTGGCTCGCCATGTCTCTTACAGCAGCTTTTAATGGCAAACAGATAGCGACTTTCCCGTGGCAATCCTGCCCGGGTTCCCTCGCTGTTTGTCAAGTTTTGTGTTGGGAAATCCTTCGTGCTGGGGTGGGGGAAAAATGCACAAACTGACCAAGGGTGGGGTGTATCGTTAGTCACAGTGCTTTCACTGTGGGATCGTCACTTTCTGGTGCTGTTCTGGGGGCTGGCGGAGCTCACATGGAGTCGGTCGTAGCGCAGCACCAAAAAGAACCCAACGAGGATGTTCTGATCCTTCTGATGCTGAGCAATTATTTGTGTATTTTAAATGCTGCTGCCTTCGAAAGCACGCAGGATTCAGGCTTTGAAAACATGACCTGTACGTGGGGTTCTTGGAGGAGGAAAATGGGCCACTTTTTCCCCGTGGTCTTTGTTTTCTGGGACAGCCGTACGACAGAGGAGATGTTCTTTGAGGGAGAGTTTTTTCTTTTTTTAATGTTGGTTTTTATTTTTTCTAACTCAGAGCGCTCAGAGGAAACCCAGTTTAGCACCCCCAGCTCTGCAGAGAAATGAAAGCTCTGTTACCTGCTGCCAGTCCGGCTGCTTCGCCTCCGATAGTCCTCAACCAAATCTGGCTGCCTGCGCTCTCCTCTCGCACTGATCATTTCTTTGCAGATCTGTTTCTGCAGTTTCTGAGCGAAGTTTCCTGTCCTGCAGCACAGCTGCAGGCTGACACCCACCCAGCGGGACCGCAGCACATCAGCCCAGCTTTTCCCAGCACTTTTTCCCTTTTTGTGCTGCTCTTGGTGCCTGCCAGAGCACTCTGTCATGCTCTCTGGACTCCTCTTAAATTAGTAAAAACCATTCATGGTTGTTTGGTTGTTTGGTTGTTTGTTAATTATTTTTTTGCTCCTGTTCACAGGGGGGTTTCTAACTTAATGCCAAACAAAGGGGTGAAAAGAGGGCTTGGTTTGTCACTGCAGAGCAGCCTGCAGCTGTTGTGCTCATCCCATGCACACATTGTGATTCCCAGCAGCCAGCAGGTTGTGTCCATTGCGCAGAGCATCGGACACTTTGCAGGAGGGGTTCATTCTGTGCTTGTTGTCTTGTTGCACTTGTTGTATTGTTACTCCTGCCTGAGTCAGCACACGGCTCACCTGTGCTGTGTGTATGGGATATTTGGGGCTTACAGTGCCCAGGTGAAGGGTGCTGGGGGATGGAGGTGGAGGGAGGTGAGGACAATGGCATAGTGAGAACCCTGGGGTTACAGTTCCACTTTATTCCTTCAGAACATCTCTTTATTCCTCCCTCTTGTTTTCTCCAAGTGGCACCTTTGCATTTGCAGCCCCTTACCCTGAACTGCTGTCAGGTTTTCCTCTTTTTTTCCCCCAAGAGCTGTTTTCCTCTTGGGATCCATCCCATCCCATAGCTGCTTGTGGAGTGCTGGGCTCCATCAGCTGCTTCTGCAGAGCAGGGATGCCTTCTTCACTCTCCTCTCCTAAAACACTGTGGAGTATGTTGATGAAAAATCACAGATATGCTAAAGATGCTCTTTGTTAATGCAGTGCAGCCTGAAGTCCTCACTGCACCTCCTCACAAACGAGCAGCCATTCCCTGAGCAGTTCCTTCAGCTTGCTTTTCTTCAAGTATGTTCAAGAAACATCGGGTTGTGCTTTGGCTGCTTGTGAAACGTTGGTGCTGAGTGCCTCCTGTGCACTGCAGGCAGGTCACGGTCCTGGACAGCAATTCTAATGAGATGGAAAGGCCTTCCACTTGGAGGTGTTGGGTTGCATAGAGGTGAGGACACACGCAGGCATTGGAGCAGTGTAGCTTTGCAGGTAGCTGGCAGCTGAGAGCCAGCCCTTCTGCTGCCGTGCTCTGCAGCCTGACTGCCGCCCTCGCGTTGGTCATCCTGCACACATTGCGTGTTGCCTGACTTTTGCTTTATGCAGAGCTGAGGTGGGGTCTTCTGTAAAGCAGGGAGGACACAGAACCTCAGAAATATTCCACAAGCACAGCCACTGGCTTATGTGTGGATTAAATAAACTTAGTAACAAGAATGTTGGAGCTCATGCCAAGAACTTAGCTGCTTAAGAACCCTACTTAGAAAAGTGAGCGGGGTTTTACATATTAAGGAATATGTTTGTACCTGCGGTCACTGAAATCCATAGCTACCTTCCATCATTTTTGTCTCCTTGTATTCAGAGTCCCTGTTCCACCCGAGCTACTTCTTATATTTCTCAACTTGTGGTTAGTATTTCGGGATGAAGACACTAACAGAACTCACACCTTTTGTACTAATATACCTCTGGAGGAAATGCCTTTCTCACCAGTGCTCTGAAACAGAAGAATCAATGGTCTGTGTTGGTCATTAGTGCTTAAAATACCCAAACCTGACACCAACTAATTAAATCCTGATAAAAGAGGTAATCGGGATGCAGTGCTCCTAAAGTGCTGCTCCACAGTGCAGGAGGATGAGGTGCACAAGAGCAGCTCACTGCTGTTCCTTCCCACAGCTGTGTCTGTCCTGCCTTCGTTCCTCTTCTGGGTTTGATCAACTGTTACGGGATGGGGAGGAAAAAAAGATCAGGTTGACATTGAAAATGTGGAAGGGACGCCTGCCCAAGGCACTGAGTGCTGTACCAGGAGCCACAGGCACAAAAGCTGCAGAGCACCACGTGTGTTATCTGCTGGTGTGGTCCCGAATCCTGTGTCTCTATTCTCTCTTTTAGGTGCCCTTTCCCCCAGCTCCCCCCCACACTTCCCTTTCAAAATCACCCCGCGATTCTTCCTCCTTTCCCTCCACCCTTTAAACGTTCTGGGTTTGGGAGTTTTAGCAAAGATCCCCTCACGAAAAAGCCAAAAACCCAACGAGAGCATTTTGGGGGAAGCTCCCAGCAGGGTAATTCCCAACATGACGTGCCTTAACCCTCTTTTTCTCCGGTGCTTTTTATGTTGGGTTTTGGGTAACAGAGACACAAACGTGACGTCTTCTGCTTCGGTTATTTTCGTGACTGCACTGTGAGCAGGAGCTCAGCTCTTGCAGGAGTCAGTGGCACTGGGACAGGTAAGCTCTGCTGGTCCAGCCGTTGGGCTGTCGGAGGAGCAGGCAGACAGACAGCTGAATTCTTACCTCTCTGGTGTCACCGGACCTCTTGAACCTTCTCAGTGCTTGCTTTGCCATTGGCTGTTCTGTGCTGTGCCCCACACAGCTGGGGGTGGAGGGGCAGAGCTGAAGCTGAGGGGAGATGGATGAGGGAAGCACGTGGATATTTCCACGCCGTGTTTCCTCCGTGTGTGCAGAGAGGTGTGCGCACGGTGCCCTTTCAGAAAGCTGCATCCTGTTGCATTAGCTAACAGTTGGAATGTGTTCTTTCTGCCTGCGTTGCTTTTCTGGTGGGCACTTGTGTCTTTTTCTACAGCTCTGTGGGTTTTCTTCAGAACGTTTGACTGTATGTAAAGAGGAAGAGGCAGCTGTGTGCTCTGTGGCCGTGTGTGCTGCCCTGTGGCTCAGGCACGGCGCTGCCTTTCGGAGGCTGTGATTCAGCAGAGATGAGCAGGAATAGAATTCAGATGTCTCCGTGCTGTGCAATGCAGGGTTTCTCTGTAACCTCAGGCAAATAGTTTGGTTTTGGGGTGGCGGTGGGAATGGCTGTAGCAGTGAGGTCGGGTTGACATTAACCCCCAGCGAAGGGTGTGTGTCGCAGTTGTTGTATCAACGCTAATTAAATCTTTATGCTGCTAATTAGAACACACAACATCGATGGGACATCTTCAAGCAGCTTGAGGAAGTGTTTTCTGCACAGTTCCTCAGAGCGCGTCGCTCTGGAAGCGTGGCCAGAAGCTGTCAGTTAAAATCTGATGTTAAACTCCAACTTCATGCAGGAGCTAACTCGCTTTCTGTGCTCGTAGTTGTGTAAATATTTCAGAATGTTTCAATTTGAGCTGGGAAACTGTCTTGTAAGCGTTGCTTTACCTATTGCTTGTAACTGACAATTCTATTTTGCTTTACGGTAGTGTAGATTTTCACTTTTCCTTCCCGTTCTTTCCATTCCCAAACACAGGACGTCTGAAGAACCTCGTGGAGCTCCTTACCATCTTCCTTCCCCCACCAAACCATGCACCATGCAGCTGTGAAACATCGCGGCGCTTTGCTTCGCTAACAGAAAGGACCCAAATAGTGGTAAGTTCAGAGCATCCAAAGATATTGCTGTGATAATGGGAAGAGAGTATCCAGAGGGTGCCTTGTTAGTAAAGCTTCCAGGTTGTAAATAAAATTTGGCTTGAAATTGATAACAAAAGCTGGTTTAGAAGTGGAACCCAGTGTATAGGTTAGAGAAATACCTCTGGCTGCTGTTCTGCTCCTACCTAATGGTGGGGCTGCCTCCATTAATCACCATCACTAGGTTTTGTCCCTTCCATGAGACGTGGAAAACAGGTGCAGAATGCAGGGCAAAGGGAAGGGAAGAGAGTACAAAATAGGAGAGGTCTCAGCTTTGTTATGTTTACCAGACCATTCTGGCTTACGTGGGACAGGCAGTAAATGGGGACTGCAGTAATCCCAAGTCTGAGTGAAAGTGCAGATTAATTTCCTAATGCACTAACAGGGTCGTTTCCCACATGTCAGTGTTGGTTGTGCCCTCCCTGCTCTTCTTGCTTTTTTTCCCTCTGTAACTGCCTAAATAAAAGGACTGTCAAGAGCCAGCCAACACAACTGCAATGGAGAAGCAATCAGAATTAGGCAGAGGCAAGACTTGGCAGTCAGAAATAGAGATTGAGAACAAAGTCAGTGGTATTTGCTCGAATTGGGTTATATTTGTGTATTTGTCTCAAGATTTTCACAGTTCTGCTCGTTGCCATAAAAATGCTTGGCTCTTCCTTTTTGCTTCATTTGCTTATTAGATTCATTACTTGGCCATTCATAATGACATTAGCTCGTAGTGGAAAAGCTTTCTTCATTTCTATTTTCTGGTGTTTTCTTTGCGACAGATTTTCAAAATCTGGGGATTGTTCTGCCTCATAACCTGGAATGGCATCAGCCACAGGAGCTGTTCCTCCTGTGTTCCAAGAGGAATATCCTGAGCATTCCTTTGCAAACAAGGGTTTTGTCAGGAGCTCCATTGGCAGCTTTCAGCCCCAGTATTTGACAGGTCACATAAGGTGAATCAGTGCCCCTTGGGCCACGGATGTCTCTTTGAAAAGTCATTAAAGTGAGAATGTTTTCAAAAGCTACCAAACAGGAAACACTGTTGTTTCATAGATCTGTTTGAAGTCTTAGTATCCAAAATTAGATTATTTTTTTCCCATACTTGTAAGAAGTAACTTGCTGACACTACTGCAAGAAGGTAACCTGGCTTTAATTACCTTTAATGTGTAGATATGATTTGAGTCATCATCTTTCTGTTCGTTACATCGTACGTAGACCTTTTACACATGAGTCTGGGGGGGAAGGACTTCAACCTGTGCTGCTGCTGGTCAGTGATCTTGTTGTTCAGTGCTAATAATGTCTGGGTTTGTCTTTTATTATAGCTCTGTCATCCTACAAGAGTTCACCCCAGTGCTGTTGGAAGGCCAAGAGCAGGGCACTGCTGTGCTGCCCTCAGACTGTTGATGTCCTCAGCTGCTGCAGGAGAAGCACCAGAGCTGGAACCCAGTTTGTTACTGGTAAGCAGTAATTGTTTTTTTCTGTTTGGTTTTGCTTTTTTTTTTTTTTTTATTTAAGTTTCTCTTAAAAGACCACTAAAAATCCTTTCACTAATTGTTGATTTAAGAACACGACAGAGAAACCAACATCTCTGGTGGGTTTTCCTTTTGAATTCTGCTTTCTAGTTGCTCTCCTTCCACACTGAGGAGGCCAACAGTTTTTCCCCAGCTTTCATTTTCTTGTGAAGTTCTTCATGCACTGTTGGAATTGATGAAGGTTAATAAATGAATTTCTCTAAGCTACCCTCAGCAGTCCTGTTGTCCTGCTATGTTTCTATGCCTACAGGTTCTGCAGGCTGGAGCTGGCCCAGCAGATCAGTGGTCTGACAGGTGTGAAAGCTGTGGAGTGGGATGTGAGATATTTAATGATAGCTCTGTTGTTCTGGGTTCTGCTTACCAGGGTTAGGATTAGGTTTTGCTTCTGGTTCTTGTTCAGGTTGCAGAAGCCAAGCTGTAGCAGCAGAACGAAGAGCTGGGAGCTTTCTGAACGTCCTTATTCCTCTTGCTGAAACTGGCCTTCCTCTAGTTCCTGATTGCATTTAGATCTGTGTATTTTTACAGCAGAAGCAATTGCAGCCTGAAGGCGTGGTCTTAAACATACTGTATGTCCTAACAAACTCTATACCCACACAGATGGGGGTGAAATCCCTTTACCTGCACAAACACTTAACAGGGAGTGAGCTCTTGGCTGTGTGCTGCAGGTACTGGAGTGCAGTGCTGCAGCTCGTGGGCTCCTGGGCATTACCTGCTGCACAGATGCCAAGAGGAGCTGCTGCCATGGGTGGCATTGGCTTCAATCGTAGAATCATAGAATGGTTTGGGTTGGAAGGGAGCTTTAAGACAATCTAGTTCCAATGCCCTGCAGTGGTGAGGGACACCTCCCTCTAGGCCAGGTTGCTCAAAGTCCCATCCAGCTTAGCCTTGAATACAGATGTTTTCACGAATGCCCATCAGGCAGATGTTAACAGCAGTCAGTGAGAATTGAAGGGGCTCAAATCTGATGGTAAAAATGCACCTAGGCAATGCAGCTGTGGGGTTGGTGGTGGCAGTGAGGTGTCCTGTGGTTTTTTTTTTGTTTGTTTAAGTTCACTGAAAAACATAGGACCAACTTAACATCGTGCTGATTTCTCGAATCAAAGTAGAAGAATTTCTCTTGTGGCAGCTGTTCATTTTCACAAGCTGTTACTTCTACCTACTTTGAATAAAACCGAAACAAATACAGTCTTGGAGGACGCAGTATAAGGAAATGAAAGCCATCCTAGTAGCTCTGTGCCCTTCTTCAAAGGCCCTTGTGAGGTAACCCTTCAGCTGGGAGCTGCACCTCTGAAGAACTCAGGTGCTGTCTTTGCGGGGAGCTGTGACCCACTGATGTCCCAGTTCTTCCATTTTCTCTCCCATTTGGAAGGATATTCCAAGTACAGGGCACTGTCCTTTTCAGCCATTAAGGTTACATTGTGATTTTGTTCTCTTTTTTCCCTCCAGCACAGGGTGCGTAGATGGGAGGAATCCCCTGTATTTCTGTTGTCTTTAATTGGGTAAAAGTGAAACTCGTGCACAGAACCTTGTGCGAGGGGGAGGTCAGTCCAATCTCACCTTGCAGAGCTCTTTTGGAGAGGAATTCCAAAAATGTTGGAATGTCTTGGGAGTGGAGATATGGAGGACGTGGGGAAGCAGCCGTGGGGTGTGTTTGGTTTTGGTTTTTGGCGGTGGGCTTTCCTTTGTATGGCAAACCTTCCCAGTGAATTTCAGTTCCTCCTTAATCTGTTTTTCTTTTTCTCTGGAGAGAAATGGGGGAGGAAACAGCGCATTTTTGGTGAGATTCCAGTTGGCCTGTTTTCCCCAGGGAGCACGGAGCCGCTGGAGGAGCGTGCTGCTTGGTGCTCCCTAACCAGAGCCCTCTGTGCTAAGGGTGGAAGCTTACATTAAGAAAATGGCACCAGGCTAAATGCCATGGGGTTCAAAATCTTGTTTTTGTGAGACAGCAAAAAATATTTTCCTCTCGTACAGGGCTCTCAATTGCTGAGGAAGAACTGTAGTCCGTTTTTCCTGCTGCTTTCTGTCGGAGTGAAGGGAATGAAGCGCTTTGGAGTTTATTTTTGTCCCTGCTGTTTCCCAAGGGATGGGATGGCGAAGGCTTTCATCTGTGTGCTGCGTTTCTTCTCCGTGGCTCTTGGTCAAAATTGAAATAATTTGCTGAGTTTAAGGCACTACTCGTTTGAACCCCTTAATTGAGAGATTTTGGTCGGGGGACTTATTCCAGGTATGTATGCAGAGAGGTTGGCTGTGTAAGCGTCACTGGCTCTTCTTTTTGCCAGAGGTGAAATTCACTTTAAGTGAATATTCTGTTTGCTCAGACTGTTATTATGCCATCAGGTGATATTTTCGTGTACAAACAACTGTACTGCTAATGCAAAATAAACACTTTCCATAAACGGTGCGTTTGTACAGCTAGGTTCGTTCCAGCTGGGGTTAAAAGGTGTATAAATTCTTAATGCTTGCTTTAAGACCAGAGCTTTGACAACATGAGAAACAAAAAGCTGCCCTGTATCTTGGCAGAAGTTGGCAGGAAAGGGATGATTAAATCTGCTCGCTGGTTCTTTTTTGCTCTGACATGCAAGTGCTGTTTGTTTAGGGATGATTTTTCTAGTTATTTCTAGGAAAGCAATAGAATTATGGTACTCTCTGTAAATTGACTTATGGAGAAAGCCTGCTCTCCTACCATTTATTTAGTGGAAAACCTACAGATGAGCTCTTACGGTTCATTGGCTTCTTGGAAAGCTGTGTTGGGCTGTGTGCTGTCACCAGAGGCCCAAGCCAGAATAATTCCAGTAGGTGTTCAGCTTTGAGATCCTTCGCTGCGTTAAAGAGACCTGAGATGAAGCAAAAAATGTAGCGTTGAACGTTGGGGTCCATCTCCAGCAATCTGTGCTACACTGCCAGCAGGACTCGGGGGGGCACTGCCTTTCTGAAGAAACCCTTCCACTGCATCTTGTACATGGAGATAAACATTTTTACCAAAAAAAAAAAGAGGAAAAAAAAAAGCCTGACACCAGCCAAGGGGCCACAAAACAGCGTGTGAAATTGGAACAGAAGAGCGTGGGGTTTTGAAGCTTCCTGAATTTTTAACTACTAGCAAATTGCCTTAAATTTAACTTGGATTAATTCCCTGGTGCTCCTTGACATTAAGCGGGTGTTCTCGTTTGACATGGGTAGACAGAAAACTAATTAATTCCTCTGAATTTGAGGCGTATTTAATTTTCTCCCCCAAAGACCTCTCATTTAAAAGGTACAAGGCTGTGACAAATGTTGGGTGGGGGCGACGTGTGCAGGGGGCAGACCTTTAGCCAGGGAGGACCAAGGCATCCCCAGCAGCAATTGCTGCCACGGTGGATGTAGGCACTCGTGTCCACAGGTAATCAGTAAAACTCAGCATCTTTCCTTGCACACCCAGCACTGCTGACACAGGACCTCCTCCCAGTGGAGGGCTGCTGCTCTTTGCAGTGGGTGTCTTCCCCGCTCACCTCTCTTAATACCTAGGGTTTAAGTACTTTGGAACAAAGATGAGTTGTCATCATTTGCACAGGGCATCTTCGCGTTGTTTTAACGTGCATTATTGTCTTCTTTTTATTATTTTAGAACGTCAGATGGCTTTGCTTTCCTGTCCAGAAGGCACCTCCAGCTCTTGTCCCCAGCCCTTGGGGATGTGGGCATGCACAGGGCTGCGTGGCTGCAGGGTGTCTGCTGTCAGCAGGCGGGAGGGAAGCCAGGGAGGAATCTTTTATTATTTTTTGTTCTGTGGTTAGTAAAAAATCTCTTGATAGGAAATTAAGTCAGAGGGAAGCTATTTCATAAACAAGCTAGCAAGTGCTTCATCCATCAGAAGCGGTGGATTAGTCAGTCTGCTGCTCAGACTGCTCTGCTCTAAAGCGAAGGTAGAAGGAGACAAATGCCTAATCCAGGTTGCTGGCATAGGCAGCTTTAACAGGGAATGAGGTGTATCTGAAACAGGCTGCTATCAGCAGCAAGGGGAACCCAGCCATGCACTGAGCTAAGCTCCATGAACATCTAAAGTAGTAAAGAAAGAAAATCTCAAGCAATCAGGGTAATTTCTAGCTGCAGGACATTAAAGAAGAAATACAGGAAAAGCTGTTGTTGCATTAAAGCACAATGAAGATATTGACAGATATTCCAGATGCTAATCTGTATTAAATTGAGGAAGAGAAAGTTACCTTGCAGGAGACAATTCTTTTTCCAAGCAGATCCAGGGAGATCCTATCTTGAAGCCTGGATTTTGTTACCTGTGAAAGAAGAGCAAAAGGAAGTGCCAGATACAGAGCCTTGGGATCATTGCATGGCTGTGTTGTGAGATGTCTTGCATCTCCCTCAGCATCACGTGGCTGTGGCGGCTGGTGGAGGCAGGATTGATGATGGACAACTCACTTGATCCTGCGTGGCAATTCGTATTTCCTGAGGGAGCAAAGCCGACTCTTCAGCTCCTAAAAGTAGATGCAGCAGTGGTTTCTGGAATAAAGACAAAACTGAACTGTCACTCTGCCTTCATAGGTGGTTCTCCCAAAGCTGAAGGTGGCTGTGAAGCAGTGGCAGCCACCTTCAGTGCGTGGGTTAGAGAGCATCTATGCTGCCTGGGTCTGACAGGGCCTTTCCAGGCCTTCAAAGGCCATTTTACAGATCAGTTCTTAATGTTCTTGCTCCTCAATTCTGACTCCTGTTTGTGTATATATTTAGATGGAGGTGGCCAGAGCTGAAGTTCCCGGGTAGGTCTCATATGTAGTAGCATTTGGATAGTGTAGAGCCACACTGTATTGACCACCTTCACGTGAAGATAAGCTTCATGTCTTTTGTGCTTAATTCTACAGAAGAGCTGCACAGAGTTGAAGCACATAAATCCCAGTTCTGCCTGTTGGTGTTGCAGGAAGGAGCATAGGCCTTCCTTTTTATGGAAGCCAATGGCTTTCAGTGATGAGAGACCAGCTGCTCTCACAAATTAGCACTCCTGACCCTGCTGAGGAGACAGCCCCATTCCTACAGAACGGAGGAGGTCTGTGCAGGCAACAGCTGCATAACTCAACCTTGTGAATCGTCAGGTGGAGCTCTAGCAGGGAGATGCTGGATGTGTGTTCTGTGGGCTCGTTCCCCAGCCAACGGTGTTGGCTCAGCTGTTGGCTTCTGGAGGTTGTATTAATAGCACAGACAGGGGCATGGATCTTGGATATCTGTGTTCCCCAGTGCTGGAAACCCTCCTGCATGCATCAGTGAACTTTCCTATCGTGGCTGTCCTAGGCCTGCCCACTGCTGCTGCTTGGTTTGAACAGATGGGACTGAATGTGGATGTGAACTGTGTGTGTGTTGAAAAGGTGCTGCAAACTCGCTCAGCCTTGTTGGCAGCACTTATATTTAATCACATACCCTTTGGGACTGGGAGAGCTCAGGGTTGTGTTCTCACAGGGACTTTGTTCTATCAGCAATCAGCAGTGTCCTAAATCCAGGATGTGCCTGCCCATGGTGACACTCCAAGCACACACACGTTTTACAGTTGTGTGTTGAGATGTGGGCCTCAATATCAGCTTCACTGCTGGAGCTTCTTATGCTGGGACAAATTCAACTTTTTGGAGGAAAGGAATAGTTATCCCTCACCACTGTAGGGTTGGAGCACCTCTCTTATGAAGAAAAGCTGTGATTTACTGCATTTTTTCACCCAACATCTTAGGCTGGTGGGGAAAACTTGGGGATGCGAAGCCAGGGAAACAGCAGGTTTTACTGCGAAGTTGTAAAGGTTGTGCTTGTAAGTAGTTGAGCTTCAAGTGAAATTAATGTCATAGCTCTGATCCATTGCTGGTTTGGTTTGGGTGGGGACTTGAAATGTTGTGATCCATAGTCTCAGATTTTGCCTATTGCTTTTCTGACTCGAGAGCAGTTCACAGCCCCTCAGCAAGGGCAGTAGCTGCTTTCAGTCAGCTTGTGCTCTTGGGGGATTTCAGCTATTCCTGCTCTCATAATGCTTTTTTCCATGAGGAAATTTTGTTTCAGTGATTTCGGCATGGTTTCATGTGCCCGACTTGTATCCAAACCCAATCTTACTGAACCCAAACAGCGACAATCAGTGGCTGTTCCACCTCAGTAACTCCAGACAGGTTTTCTTTCAGGTCTGTAACGACGTAAAGAAACGTTTCTCTGGGATATTTTGAGGTGACGTAGGACTGAGCTTCACATTTAGTCCCTTTTAACAACAATTATTTGAAGTATGCTCCACATCATAAACACGGACTCTTTCTGGGCAACTCTTGTATTCTGCAGGACATGTTCAAGGTGCACCTGCTATTGAACGTGGTGCAGTTTGGGACTGATCTGAACTTGTTTGGATGTTTCCTTCTCCTTGCAGGACTTGTGGAAGAGGAAACACAAAGACTTCCAAATGAATAACCGAAAGGAAGATATGGAGATTGCCTCCCACTACCGGCACCTGCTTCGGGAGCTCAACGAGCAGCGGCAGCACGGCATCCTTTGCGACGTCTGCATCATCGTGGAGGGGAAGATCTTCAAGGCTCACAAAAACGTTCTGCTCGGGAGCAGTCGCTACTTCAAAACACTGTACTGCCAGGTACAGAAAACCTCCGACCAGGCCACGGTCACCCACTTAGACATTGTCACTGCACAAGGCTTTAAGGCAATCATTGACTTCATGTATTCTGCACACCTAGCGCTGACCAGCAGGAACGTCATCGAGGTGATGTCTGCTGCCAGCTACCTGCAGATGACGGATATCGTGCAGGCCTGCCACAACTTCATCAAGGCAGCTCTGGACATAAGCATCAAGTCAGATGCCTCGGATGACCTTGTGGACTACGAGCTGGGAGCCCCCTCCAGCAGCAGCACGGACGCTCTGATCTCAGCAGTGGTGGCTGGCAGGAGCATATCGCCGTGGCTGGCTCGGAGGACGAGTCCAGCAAACTCTTCAGGAGATTCTGCTATTGCCAGCTGCCACGAAGGAGGGAGCAGTTATGGGAAGGAGGATCCGGAACCAAAAACTGACAGCCACGAAGACGTTTCGTCCCAGTCGCTTTGGTCCAGTGACATGGGCTATGGGTCTTTACGTATCAAAGAGGAACAGGTTTCTCCCTCTCATTATGGAGGGAATGAACTGCATTCTGCCAAGGATAGTGCAATACAGAACGCTTTCTCAGAGCAAGGAGTGGGGGATGGCTGGCAGCCCACGGGGCGCAGGAAGAACAGGAAAAACAAAGAAACTGTGCGTCACATTACACAGCAAGTAGAGGATGACAGCAGAGCAAGTTCTCCAATGCCATCTTTTTTACCTGCCTCAGGATGGCCGTACAGCAGTCGAGATCCAAGTAAGTCATTCTGCTTGCGTGGCTGACATGAGAAAAGTTGAGTCAGTTGCATCTTCTCATGGTACAATCTTTTCTCTTTAGAGTTATGATGGCTGTCCTGCTTGATTCGCTGACCACAGGCAATTAATAGATCCAGGGCTGCTGGTGGTGTTGGGTTTGGTGTTTTTTTCCATGAGGACTTCAGAGAGAGTGTGGCATTGAGCTCCCTTAGGCTGACTTGAGGAATTCAGGTTGTGATAGGGGTTAGCCTATGCTTCATTGCATACCAGAATCCAAGAGAGGTGTGTGAGATTATATATACGGCTCTGTTGTCAAATTCGGGTGAAAAAAGCAATATAAACATGGTGAAAGTCTGAATAGTCTTTATGGGCTGAAAAAGGATGTGTAAGTTGCTTGCATACCAAAGTTTGAATGTGGCTTTCATTGGCATTTAAATGAATGGGTAACTCTGCAAGTATCTTCAGAAGTATTACATTTTACAGTTATCTACTGCAGTAGGCTTGCATGTAATTATTCTAATTGGCTGATGATAAAATCTAAACAACTTCAGTTAGAAGAAAAATGTGAGATAACTTAAGATAACAGTGATTTATGATGAATCCTGGCTTTGCAGTGCACGTGTTCGAGGGTTGTTTGGAGCAGAGACTCAGTGTGGAGTGCCTGGAATGCGATTGGCACTCAAATGTTTTTCGTTTTCACTGCATCCCTTAAAACCAACTCAAACACTTGTATTTCTGTGAGGTGCAGGGGCTTGGGACAGGTATTTGAGGCAAGCCGTGCAGAAACAGAACTGCAGCACTGACCTCAGCAAGCTGCTTATAAATGGAATGTTCTTCAAGTTGTGCTTTTGAAAAGAGTGCCTAGAGTAGGAGATTGTGTTACTGGAAGCTGAATGATGTCTGCATCATTAAAGTCCTAATTGTCAGGGAATTGAGCAGAAGTGCCCTTTTCTTTACAGCTGTTAGCAGATGAGAGGAACGCAGCTCCTGGTGTTGACTCAGAGCGGTGCTGAGCCAGCATGGTAACAGGCACAGCCCAAGAGGTTGTTGCAAATCTTGTCCTAAACGCAGTTTCCAATGAGAGAGGTGTTTGTGAAGATGGAAAAGGGCAAGCTGAGTGCTGGTGGCTGGGGGGAATTGCTTCAATATTCCACTCGTCCTGATTGAGCAAAGGGAAAAAGTGAATGTGAGGTGAGTGGAGTGCCAGGACTGAGCGGCACGGGGCTGTGTGTGTTGGCAGCACCTGGGCACTGCTCTGGGAGCAGTGTGGGGCTCTGTGAAATGGCCCTGCCGAACCTCAGCTCCTGGCTTTCCCTGTATTCACCAGCCTGGGAAGTAAGCAGAGATGAAATTCTTCCTTGTGTGCTGCTGAAGAGTGAGAACAAGTGTGCAGAGAACCAGAGAACATCCCTGCTGCCCCAAACACCGCTGTCCCACTGCCTCTCTCCAGGCAGGAGGGTCTCTAGGTCTGCTGAACACTGCACAAGTATTCCCCATCTCCAGCAGGTGGAAGCAGCCCTCCTGCAGTCTGCTCTCTGCTGTTGCAGAGCTGCTGGGTTCCACCCAGGTTGCTTGTTGGTTCTTATCTGTCCAAAGCAGCCAAGGGGTGATCCACACTTAGCTCCAAGATGTGAAGAAAAATGGCACTTTTTTGGTGTAAAAACAGGTAATAACAATTGTCTGTGCTGTGTCACCAGTACTGGGATGTGTGCTTCACTCTTTAAATTTCATCTTAAGGCACTGTTTGAATTTGGTAGTGTTGGGCTTTACTCTGTAAAGCAGCCTGCAGTTAGAAGCGTTCACAGCCACGCTGCAGAGAGCAGAGACAAAAGGGTGCCCTGTGCTGAGGAAGTGGGTGCAGAATGCTCTTTCGTGAGTATGCTCAGAGGAAGAGTTACCTCAAACTGTGTTCTTTGAAGCTCCTTTATCTTTCTGGATCTGTTTGGTTATTTTAAGATGCTGCTTGTGAGATCTGCTAGCTCTGCATACGGGATAGCCTGGGTACCCTTTGAAAATGCTGTTGTGCTAGAGGACTAGCACAGGCATTCCAGCAGCACAAAGCTAATTCAGGAGACTTAATCTTAAAACTACAGTGTTAGCATCTTCCTCCTGACACTGTGCCAGATAACCTCTTAGTCTTCCTTGCAATCAGCACCGCGTCTCAGCAGGACGCGAGCAGCGTTATGGAAGGTGGATCTTGCAGATGACAGTGGCATCACACGTTTAGTTCAGTGAGGAGCAGCAGCTGTAAGGGAGCACTTTGTGACACCGTAGAAGGAAACTCACTGCAGTCACTGAAAGTTTGCTTTGGAGACAGCTGTCAGCTCACTGCCGTTCAGTGCTGAGGCTTCTTGTGCTGGTGGCACATCTAGAGGGGCTGCCAGCGGTGCTGGTGGTGTTTTCAAAGCTCTCACTAGCAGAGCTGCTTTTGCCTTTCCGTATGCTGGAAAGCACTGCCACTTGGGGGGTGTCTCTGGAAGAATTCATTGATGGTTTTATTAACGTGTTACTTCAAGCACAGTCACTGAATCAGGAATTTATTCCTAAGGAAGTGCTCCCACGCGTCTTCTGAGTGTTTGCACCCTAAAGATGGAAGCGATCCTTTTTTTTTTTTGTGCCAATTGACTGTGAAATGACACTAATTATTCTCTAAACAGAACAGTCATTTTTAAAGACACTTGCAGCTTGGGAACTTCTCCCTTTACTTTGTTTAAATGCAGTGGAAATGCTCTATTCTGTAAGAAGAGCTTTACGTTACCCAGAGTGGTGACCTTATGGGAGGGGTGCACAGGGCTTCACCTTCTGACCTTGTAGGTCTGATGTTTCCCATCCAAGTCTTTGACTCTGCCCAGGTGCCCTCTGTCGTGAAGGAGAAGCATGGGCACATTTTTGGGTGATGTGCTGATCATCAGAGCAGGGATCTTCTGTTGCTGTGGGACATCAGGGGGTGCTCCAATGGGACAGCAGTCTGCTCACCTGCCCAGAATGTGATAATGTGTTCATCTGGAGTGATGGGAGGCTGCAGAATGGGAGGCTGCAGATGGGAGGCTGCAGAATGGGAAAGCTTTTCTCCTCTGGCTGTATTCATGTTATACTTGGGGTCCTGGCTGTGTGCATGTGCGCTGTGAACATCTGTGCACTGAGCACCTTTGGACAGTGCCAGTGGTGGTGCTTCTGCTGTGCTGCTTGGCAAGTGTTCTGGTCGTGTGAAGGAGTAAGGGCCTGAAATACTGTGAGCAGGGGAGGAACTCGACATGGTGTTGGTACCTGAGGTTCAGCAGTTGAAACTCACAAGATCTTTGGTTTTGCAAAAATGCAGAACTTGTGGCTTTACTTATGAACAGTTCACTGTCCTCAGGAGCTGGTCGTAGAAAGGAAGGCAGAGGTGCCCACAGGCTGCTGCTCCCATGCCCCGGGCTGCCTGGTGGTGCTGCCTGGCTTTCTGTGTGGCAGCTGTGCCAGCAGCTACAAAAACATTTTGCATAGAGGCTGTGGGGAGAGCCAGCCCCAAGCTAATGAGCTATTGGGGTGCAGCTTTCATGGGAATAACGGTTCTGAGCTCTGTTATTAAAGGGTTAGTTCGGGTTGTTTTCAAATCTGGAGACCAAAGTCAGTGCTTTGCAGCCCGGCCGCTTGCCCGTGGCTACACCCTGGCTGCAAAATGGTTCCACCCTGCACGGCTTTAGCTCTGAGCTGTGTCCATTTCCTCTCCCCACCCCACGCTCCATGTTCCCTAGGCTCAGAGCTCTCCTCCTCCTCTTCCTCCTCCCCGAGTCGCAGCCCTGATTCTGTTAATCTGCTTTAACTCCCGAGATCAGAGGCTTCCCCTCCGCTGAGTGCCCTTCTCGCTGGGTTCTGTTCCCTGTGCCAGGATTGGACCCATTGCCTCCTCACAGCTGTTCTGCTTTACCCTTCTGTACTGCAATTCCCAGCAGTGAGAAATGAAGGCTTTAGATTTTGGATCCCACTTTGAGATCATCTGTCTGCGCAGGACTTTCACTTTCGCCTTTGCAGCCATGCCTTTGTGTTCACACGGAGGAGGAATTCGTTCTTTAGATGCAGTGAACCAAAAATGAAAACTAATTGTGCCGTGTTGGTCTCAGATTTGATTTTGGTTCAGGGTGTTTTTTGGGAGAAGATTTCTTACAGGCACTTGTTTCATAAGTACTTGTTCTGAAGGATTTGGAAGGTACAGTTAGTTGGCATGCTGTCACATGCAAGGACCACCTCAGTATTCCAATTGCAGTAGTTTCAGATAGAATTAACTCGCCCCTTTTAACCATTTCCATCATTTCAGACGTGATATTTTTTAAGATCCTCGGAGGAATGAAGAGGGTTTCCCAGCTGGTTTCTGCCTGCAGCCCATGGATTTGAAGGAAACAATGCTGCAGATACAGCGGTGCTTGTAGAACGTGTCAGTGCAAAGTTGGGTCGTGCTTGTGCAGAAGGGGAAAGCTTTGCACGTTAGAACCTGTATCTCTGCAGCTCCTGAACTGTGAATTTGGGGCTTCTTTGGAACATGATGAGCATTATATCCATGTGTGCATTACTGTGTTAGTGAAAGTGCTGCTGATCAGAACAGCTGTGGGTCGTGGCATCGTTTCTCTCTGTAAACACTGCCTGAGAACACTGGGCTTTGTCTGACAAGCAGTCCGTTGTGACAGCGTGGTGAAGGATGGGCGTGGGGCTGTCAGAAATAGAAACTGGAGGGATATTTCTAGCAGCTGTAAAAAGATTGTCATTTTTCTGATGGCCCGGCTGCTCCTGTTGTCTTTGCTCAGGAGGAAGAGGCCGATATACAAAGGCTTGTGTCGCTTGCACATGAGGAGATCAAGCTGCATCTTCCTTAATCTGGGCAAGAAATGTCATTCCTGAAGTTTGAGGTATCAGAGGCGTGTCCATATGCTCCATACAGATCCATGGGGCAGCTCAGAACACCATCATTGATTTCACCCAGCTTTTCTCTCAGGTCAGCACTCGGCAGCAGGAGGAGTTAATGGCCAGTGCAGGAAAGCTGAGTTTCAGTGGCCCTGCTTTCCCCTCGAGCTCCATTTCCACCCCCACGCTCTCCTGCAGTTGTTCTGGTGGAAATGTCTGTGCAACCATGGAGTGAACCAGATTGTGGAACTGATCTGGGATTAAAAATAAACATTTTGTAATAAACTAGACTATTTTTAACGTCCATCGGTTCCTGTCTCAGTTTCACTTTGCAACTATGCAAATGGTTGAGTACAACTGAAGGAGCAGCAGGGGATGCAGGAATGAGCGTTTGGGGATAAGAAAGCTGGTGTTGGCATCTCTCCCCTCACATCCCTCTGCCCTTTCTGCTTGTCACATTGTGAAGGAAACGGTGACATTTGCCACCCACCCCCCAGCTGCCATCCAGCTGTGTCAGAGCCACCAGGGACAGCACGGTGCCCGCGTTGATCACAGGTGGCTCCAGGGCTGTGTCCTGTGGTCATCGAGGACTTGGTGGCACGGAGCAGACCCTCAGCACGCTGTAGGATGGCACCAGACGGCGAGGAATGATTTGCTGGAATGCAACGGTGCCAGAAACAGCACGGATTCAACAAGGACAAATGCAAAGTCCTGTGCATGGCACGGAATAACCCTGTGCATCAGCACGGGTTGGCAGACAACGAGCGAGAGAGCAGCTTTGCAGAAAATGTGTTCTGGTGGTGCAAGCTGAGCAGGAGACTCGTGCCTGGCAGCCTGGGAGTGCATGTGTCTGGGCTGTGCTGTGAGGAGCTGGGAAGGGAGAGCACGCCTAAGGTGCAGGGCACTGCCTGGCCATCTCCAGCTGCAGGACTGCAGATGCCGTGGGGATGGGCTGGAGGATGCTGTGTGTGAGGAGAGGCTGTGGAAGGGAGAGCACTGCTGGTCGTCTGTCTGCAGAAAGAGCCTCCATAGGAGACCTTAAAGACTGAAAAAGCAGTAGCTGAATAGTAGCTGAAGCTCCATAAACCAACTGGGAGGTCATCTGTTCTACTTCATCAGGATCAGCAGCACGCCAGGAGTAACCTGTCTGCCAGTATGTTGGTTAGTGCCGTCTGTGGGAGCAAAAGGAGGAAGGAATCGGTCTTTTTCCTCTTTCTCTTAAAATAGCAAGCTTAATTATCTTTGGAAGTTACTTGCAGCATTCATGCTTGAGCTGTATGAATAACTGGGTAACTTACATTGTTGTAACTGAAATACTCGGCATGAAATATTCTGGTATTTCATACACAAAGAGGGTGAAATCTTCTGTACCCTCACCAACCTCACCCTCACCAACCTTCATTTCACTTCAAGAGAAAATGACCTGGGATGTTGAATCGTAGAATAGAATCATTGGGGTTGGAAAAGAGCTCCAAGATCCCCAAGTTCAACCCCAAACCATCCCACCATGCCCACCGAGTGCCACATCTCCACAGTGCCTGGATGTGGATGTGCCAGGGGTGGTGATGGGCTGATGGTTGGACTTGATCTTGAAGCTCTTCTCCACGATTCTATGGGATGGAAGTGTTTTTCTGTGCATGATTGTAAAATGGTGGAGTGGAATATGGCCTCTTGCCTTGTGAGGCTGGAGGGAAAGAAGGCCGTTCAGGACTTGCAGCCTGGCAGAGCGTTCCCTAGCTTAAGTCCTGGGGATCAGCTGCCTTCAGCAGAACTGCTGTTGGTGCACTGCATCACCTTGGTTTCCACACAGCCCTTCCCCAGGAGCTGCATGCAGAGCTGCTTCGCTTGTGGGCACCACAGCTTTGTTTCAAAGCTGAAAACTACCCGAGGCTGAATTCCTTACAGTGACAACCTTGATGCTGATGCACTGTAGTTGGTAGGCTGCTGGCTTGCCTTTGCTTTTCTGATGCCTGGATTTGTGACAAGATCTGAGCTTATTTATCTTTCAAGTAACATCTCTTCTTTGTGAATGGCAGTAGTGGTGCCACGTGTGGGTTTCTGTACTCAGGCTTCCAATGATCCTTTTTATCTTAGGTTTTTGTGTGTAAATATGAACTTTCAAAGCTAATATCAAAGTTTCAGGGATGCCTCTTTGGCTTTTTTAAAACCAAAATCAGTGAATTATTAATCCAAGTCAACAGACTCATAAGGCTTTTCTAAAGCTTCAACGCTCCGGAAAGCAGGCTGGTGTAAGAGAATAACTACCAAATAATTAATTGCTAAGGAGACTAATAAGCTCAGCACTAATCCCAGGGCAGCTCTGGAGCTGGGAGTGGATCAGGGCATGGCCAAGGGCTGGGAGCTGCAGTGCTGCAGCCCTTTGGGAGCGTGCTGCCCAGGTCTTGGTTTGTGTGCTTCTGCAGAGCTGCAGGACGTGGTTGGATTGCTGGGCAGGGACGGGTGCTTTTGATTCGTGTAATTCTTTGGCTCAATCCCATTAAAAGGAGCTGCATCCCAGAGAAAAGTGGTTTTGGAATCTCGGGGAGAGGAACTCAATGACTTTTTGGGTTTAGGTGTACAGAGAGTGTTTGATGCTTATGTCACTAGGTGGATAGTTGATTAGGTTACTGCGACTATAAGTACTGGGAGCTCCAGAGCCTCTATTTCACCACCTGCCTCTAATCTTGGCTTTTGAGGAACATGTAATGCATTGTTGGGGTTGCAATTAATCTGTGTGTGTTTTAGCAATTAGTGTCTGTGTGCAGCCAGCGGCACGTCGTGTCCATGGGCAGCTCTGAGATGGCACAGGAGGAAGGGAGGGATCTGCTGCCCGTGGGGTTGGCAAACACCTGGATGAGGCTCCTGCAGCTGTCCCTGCTTTGACTGGGATGTGTTCCTGTTTCAATGCACTTTAATTTGCTTTCTTCACCCTCTATTGGGGCAGCTGTTGTGCTTTAAATTCTTGTAACTTCCCTTTACGTGGAAATGTTTGTAAAACAAACTTCATTATCTTGTAGGAGAAATGCATGTGCCTGTTAACGTTGCGCTCACTTGCAGAGGTGGTATGGAATATGCACCCAGCAATAAAAATCAAAGCAAGGATTCTTTGATTTGCTGATAGCGTGCAATTGGAGAAATCAAACGCAGATGGGGGAAGGTGCTCTGCTTCTGCAGGTGCCAGGCAGAGGAATTGCAGTGTTTGGAGCACTCCTGAGTGGCACAGCAACTTCTTTTTGTGGGTAGCTTTTTGATTGTGAAGACAACAGATACGGCGGAGAGCTACTTCACATCAACAAGCACACTTAACCTGTTACAGGCTGTTCGCTCTTGGTGTTCAATACTTGCAGCGGGGGAAGCACTGGGAGGTCACCTTGTGCTCGGGGTCACAGATGGACATCAGGTGACATCAGGTGTACCCAGTGCGTCCTGCTGATGGCATCTCTCCCTGCACAGGTGCTGATGTGACGGCAGCAGAGCCCAGCAGCTCGGACAGCCGGGGGGAGCGGCCGGACCCATTTGTGCACAGCGAGGAGCAGCTGCTGGGTGCTGGGGAGGGCAGCTACCTGCCGCAGCCCCCCCTGGACAGGGAGGATGCACTGCAAGCTGCCACCGTCGCCAACCTGCGCGCAGCACTCATGAGCAAGAACAGCTTGCTGTCGCTGAAGGCCGACGTGCTGGGCGACGACAGCTCCCTGCTCTTCGAGTACTTACCCAAAGGCACGCACTCTCTCTCTCGTAAGTTTGTGGGTTTGTGTTGTTTGTCTGTTGGTGCTTGAAGTGGAAGCGTTGGCGAGAAGAAAAAACAACACGGGTCGCTGTCCTGTTTGTTGCTGCTGTTGTGTCTGCATCCGGTACTGAGCTCTGCTTAATCGCACTTGCCGTGAGATTTGGAAGCCTGTGTCTGGTATTGATCCAACTCTAATGCTGACTGCTGACTCTGTGAGAGGAAGGAGTGTGGGGCGTGCGTGGAGCTCCTGTTGTCAAACGTCTGTTGTTCTTGTTTGCAAAACCCTGGCTACCAGCAAAGCACAAAGTGCTGGGGTCCTTCTGTAGCTGGAAATGGTTTGAATCCCAAACTGGCTCATGCTGAGAGCGGAATGTTGCTCCTGTTCTCATAAAAGCAGCTCTGGTTTTGTAGATCATTCAGTCCTTACTTTCTGCTGTTTATGGCCGGACCTGTAAGTGATGAGCAGCTGCTAATTGTTCTGTGACACTTGTGCGATGAGTGGCTCTCTGTGGGTGACTTGTTGGGGACAGCCAACTTGTACCAGTCTGTGCTCAGCACTTCTCTTGGTGTACTTCTGTATTTTCTTCGTTGCTATTGTAAAGTAGGTGGATTCTCTACTGTGCATAGAAAGAGAAGGTATCAATGCTCTGTTTTAATGCCTTCAGAAGATAGGATGTGACAAAACAGAGCGAGCTGTGAGTGCCTGAGTACTACTTGTTAGCTTCCAGCAGAAAGAGTGTTTTAATCTATACAAAGAAAATGGACCAATTAAATGGCGTAAAAACTCACTTCAGATATCTGTTGTATTTTGACTTTCCTCAATGACAAAGAAAAGGATAACTTCTGATGATTGCTTGGGTGTGTGATAAAGGGCAATAACTGGACTATCTGACGCCTTGGAACCTCTTTTCCTTTCCCACGTCTGAATTTAGAAAGAAAATAAATGTTTTGTACCTTACTGTGCCGTTCAAATGTCTGGGGGAAATTGCTAATGCAGCGTTGCTGTTACTCCTGCAGTAGTTCAGTGACTGTCTCCAATTAAGCCAGACGTAGAAGGTTGAAGGTGGGCTGCTGCTGGGTGTCCTATGGGCTGGTGGTGGGGTTGTGCAGAGTGTGGCTGCTGCAGGGCTGCCGTGATCGATGCACGGTGCTGGGGGCTGTGATTGATGGCAGCTGGAATCGGTGGCTTCGTCTTCTGTCATGATGAAGTGCAGTGATAATGGGACTGCTCTCCATCTGTCATCTCGCTTTTGGTTGGAGCGTTTTGGGTTTTCCTTACAAGCTGAAGGACTGCTCTGCTGAAAGATAAATGAGTACCAACCAGTCATGCAAACCACTCATAACTTTGGATGAGAAGTTAAAGATTCCCTCAGCAGCTGAGGAGTGGGGATCTGGTGCAGGCGTGGGGTTGGCAGGAAACCGGCTGGGTCTGCAACAAAGCTGGATGGATTTAGAAGTGGGAGGAATCCCAGTGGACTCAGGAGGGTCCCCTCCACTCCGGGGTTTCCGGTCCCTTTATTGGTACTTGGATTCCATTCACCTCAGCTTTAATTATCTCATCTTTCTGTAAGTGAATTGCTTAAGACAAAGAGCTGAACTGCTGGCTGTGTCTGCAGCTCTGTGGCAGCAGTCGATGGCTGTGGATGCTCTGTGGCTGGTTAAGGGCTTTTTTTTTTAATTTCTTACATTCTTCAATCACAGACATCTACTTCTTTCAGTCACTTGGAGTTCTGATGCTACTTCTTGCTGTCTTGTTTTTTTTAAGTGGTCCTTCTCGAATACAATATGACAGCAAAGCAAATGATAAGAGTGTAGGGATCCTAAAACCCAGTCTGGTTTGGTGCTTGCTTTGTGGGTGTTTGTGATGCTTTTTGTCAAACACAGGTTGAGGATATTGAGTCGTATGGGTTACACCCTCCCGAAAAAGGGAGGGGAGCACAACGAATGAGGCTCTTTTTCAAATACCCACACCAGCACTGTATGTGGCCATCTTCATTTGTCCGACTGGAAAAGCAAGCGCACCGATCTCCAGAACTTTTAAGCCATTAATCTCTCCTGAGTTTAAAAAACCTATTTTGGATCTTAACTGCTCTCACTGCGTTGTCTTTGTGTTTTCCTACGCGCTGACGCAGCGAGGAGCTGACTCACAGCAGCTTGAACACTGGTTTCTCATTTCTGGAGCAGCAGCCCCAGTTGTGGTGCGGAGCAGAGGGGCACACGATGCTGATGGGCCATTCCTAAGGGGACATAAATCTCTAAAGTTACTCCGTACATTTCAAGTTTGAATTTACTTCCACGTAGTTCACACTGCTGTAAAAGTTAATAGAGGATATCCCAAGGTTTTCATTTTACTCGTGTTCTTTTTTTTCCTAATTCACTGTACATTGTTCCGATATATGAGGTGTGAAATTACTTAACGTTCAGTAAATGGAAAATGAGGCACAGGATGTGAGGAGCGATTCTGTCTGCATCAAAACAAGCGTCACTGCACTGCTGTGGTACGGGCAGGCATTTCTGAAATCAACCAACTCAAACTCAATTAAAAGCAGGAGGGAAAGTTCCTGTATCTTGTTGTCTGGGTGGCGTGAGTGGGTGGTTGGGTGGCTG